CTCACCCTCCATGAGGACCCGCAGCTGGATCCTGCCGTGGCCGCGGTGGCGGTCGGGCGGGTTCAGGATGTAGCAGCTGTAGAGGCCCTCGTCCTCCGGCTGCACGTTCCGCAGCGTCACGGACACGTCGTACTTGCTGGGGTTCCCCGAGAACTCCACGCGGTCCCGGAACCGCTCCAGCTTCAGGTTGATGATCTTCATGCGGAACTGGAGGAACTGGGGGTGGCGAGGGGCAGGCTGAGGGGGTGGCAAGCCCTGGCGAGCGGGTGCCTCCCCCAGCGTTCTTACTTGGAGACAGGCCCTTACCTCCAGACCTCCACCCCGCCCCGGCCCCGGCGGGACAGCACACCTTCCGCCCGAGCAGACGGCCCCAGGTCCAGTCCAGGCAGGGCAGGGGCTCCACACCCACCAGACTCACCATCTCCTCAGAGCAGTTGCCGCACTCCTGGTAGGTCCAGTTCAGGGAGAAGTGCTTGTGGTTCACAGTGTAGCAGGAGTTGAAGGTGCAGGCCAGGCGGGCGTCGGAGCCATTGAGCACGTTGAGGGTGGTGGGCACCGTGACTTCCATGCTGCGCCCTGGCGGCACTGTGGGCAGAGCACACGCTGGTGAGGCTCTGGCTGAGGGGGCGGGAGGTGTACCCCCGCTGCACCTGGTGGGAGTGGGGCCGGGAGGGGACATGCCTCCTGCACCTGGTGGGAGTGGGGCCGGGAGGGGACATGCCTCCTGCACCTGGTGGGAGTGGGGCCGGGAGGGGCACGCCCGCTGCACCTGGTGGGAGTGGGGCCGGGAGGGGCACGCCCGCTGCACCTGGTGGGAGTGGGGCCGGGAGGGGCACGCCCGCTGCACCTGGTGGGAGTGGGGCCGGGAGGGGCACGCCCGCTGCACCTGGTGGGAGTGGGGCCGGGAGGGGCACGCCCGCTGCACCTGGTGGGAGTGGGGCCGGGAGGGGCACGCCCGCTGCACCTGGTGGGAGTGGGGCCGGGAGGGGCACGCCCGCTGCACCTGGTGGGAGTGGGGCCGGGAGGGGCACGCCCGCTGCACCTGGTGGGAGTGGGGCCGGGAGGGGCACGCCCGCTGCACCTGGTGGGAGTGGGGCCGGGAGGGGCACGCCCGCTGCACCTGGTGGGAGTGGGGCCGGGAGGGGCACGCCCGCTGCACCTGGTGGGAGTGGGGCCGGGAGGGGCACGCCCGCTGCACCTGGTGGGAGTGGGGCCGGGAGGGGCACGCCCGCTGCACCTGGTGGGAGTGGGGCCGGGAGGGGCACGCCCGCTGCACCTGGTGGGAGTGGGGCCGGGAGGGGCACGCCCGCTGCACCTGGTGGGAGTGGGGCCGGGAGGGGCACGCCCGCTGCACCTGGTGGGAGTGGGGCCGGGAGGGGCACGCCCGCTGCACCTGGTGGGAGTGGGGCCGGGAGGGGCACGCCCGCTGCACCTGGTGGGAGTGGGGCCGGGAGGGGCACGCCCGCTGCACCTGGTGGGAGTGGGGCCGGGAGGGGCACGCCCGCTGCACCTGGTGGGAGTGGGGCCGGGAGGGGCACGCCCGCTGCACCTGGTGGGAGTGGGGCCGGGAGGGGCACGCCCGCTGCACCTGGTGGGAGTGGGGCCGGGAGGGGCACGCCCGCTGCACCTGGTGGGAGTGGGGCCGGGAGGGGCACGCCCGCTGCACCTGGTGGGAGTGGGGCCGGGAGGGGCACGCCCGCTGCACCTGGTGGGAGTGGGGCCGGGAGGGGCACGCCCGCTGCACCTGGTGGGAGTGGGGCCGGGAGGGGCACGCCCGCTGCACCTGGTGGGAGTGGGGCCGGGAGGGGCACGCCCGCTGCACCTGGTGGGAGTGGGGCCGGGAGGGGCACGCCCGCTGCACCTGGTGGGAGTGGGGCCGGGAGGGGCACGCCCGCTGCACCTGGTGGGAGTGGGGCCGGGAGGGGCACGCCCGCTGCACCTGGTGGGAGTGGGGCCGGGAGGGGCACGCCCGCTGCACCTGGTGGGAGTGGGGCCGGGAGGGGCACGCCCGCTGCACCTGGTGGGAGTGGGGCCGGGAGGGGCACGCCCGCTGCACCTGGTGGGAGTGGGGCCGGGAGGGGCACGCCCGCTGCACCTGGTGGGAGTGGGGCCGGGAGGGGCACGCCCGCTGCACCTGGTGGGAGTGGGGCCGGGAGGGGCACGCCCGCTGCACCTGGTGGGAGTGGGGCCGGGAGGGGCACGCCCGCTGCACCTGGTGGGAGTGGGGCCGGGAGGGGCACGCCCGCTGCACCTGGTGGGAGTGGGGCCGGGAGGGGCACGCCCGCTGCACCTGGTGGGAGTGGGGCCGGGAGGGGCACGCCCGCTGCACCTGGTGGGAGTGGGGCCGGGAGGGGCACGCCCGCTGCACCTGGTGGGAGTGGGGCCGGGAGGGGCACGCCCGCTGCACCTGGTGGGAGTGGGGCCGGGAGGGGCACGCCCGCTGCACCTGGTGGGAGTGGGGCCGGGAGGGGCACGCCCGCTGCACCTGGTGGGAGTGGGGCCGGGAGGGGCACGCCCGCTGCACCTGGTGGGAGTGGGGCCGGGAGGGGCACGCCCGCTGCACCTGGTGGGAGTGGGGCCGGGAGGGGCACGCCCGCTGCACCTGGTGGGAGTGGGGCCGGGAGGGGCACGCCCGCTGCACCTGGTGGGAGTGGGGCCGGGAGGGGCACGCCCGCTGCACCTGGTGGGAGTGGGGCCGGGAGGGGCACGCCCGCTGCACCTGGTGGGAGTGGGGCCGGGAGGGGCACGCCCGCTGCACCTGGTGGGAGTGGGGCCGGGAGGGGCACGCCCGCTGCACCTGGTGGGAGTGGGGCCGGGAGGGGCACGCCCGCTGCACCTGGTGGGAGTGGGGCCGGGAGGGGCACGCCCGCTGCACCTGGTGGGAGTGGGGCCGGGAGGGGCACGCCCGCTGCACCTGGTGGGAGTGGGGCCGGGAGGGGCACGCCCGCTGCACCTGGTGGGAGTGGGGCCGGGAGGGGCACGCCCGCTGCACCTGGTGGGAGTGGGGCCGGGAGGGGCACGCCCGCTGCACCTGGTGGGAGTGGGGCCGGGAGGGGCACGCCCGCTGCACCTGGTGGGAGTGGGGCCGGGAGGGGCACGCCCGCTGCACCTGGTGGGAGTGGGGCCGGGAGGGGCACGCCCGCTGCACCTGGTGGGAGTGGGGCCGGGAGGGGCACGCCCGCTGCACCTGGTGGGAGTGGGGCCGGGAGGGGCACGCCCGCTGCACCTGGTGGGAGTGGGGCCGGGAGGGGCACGCCCGCTGCACCTGGTGGGAGTGGGGCCGGGAGGGGCACGCCCGCTGCACCTGGTGGGAGTGGGGCCGGGAGGGGCACGCCCGCTGCACCTGGTGGGAGTGGGGCCGGGAGGGGCACGCCCGCTGCACCTGGTGGGAGTGGGGCCGGGAGGGGCACGCCCGCTGCACCTGGTGGGAGTGGGGCCGGGAGGGGCACGCCCGCTGCACCTGGTGGGAGTGGGGCCGGGAGGGGCACGCCCGCTGCACCTGGTGGGAGTGGGGCCGGGAGGGGCACGCCCGCTGCACCTGGTGGGAGTGGGGCCGGGAGGGGCACGCCCGCTGCACCTGGTGGGAGTGGGGCCGGGAGGGGCACGCCCGCTGCACCTGGTGGGAGTGGGGCCGGGAGGGGCACGCCCGCTGCACCTGGTGGGAGTGGGGCCGGGAGGGGCACGCCCGCTGCACCTGGTGGGAGTGGGGCCGGGAGGGGCACGCCCGCTGCACCTGGTGGGAGTGGGGCCGGGAGGGGCACGCCCGCTGCACCTGGTGGGAGTGGGGCCGGGAGGGGCACGCCCGCTGCACCTGGTGGGAGTGGGGCCGGGAGGGGCACGCCCGCTGCACCTGGTGGGAGTGGGGCCGGGAGGGGCACGCCCGCTGCACCTGGTGGGAGTGGGGCCGGGAGGGGCACGCCCGCTGCACCTGGTGGGAGTGGGGCCGGGAGGGGCACGCCCGCTGCACCTGGTGGGAGTGGGGCCGGGAGGGGCACGCCCGCTGCACCTGGTGGGAGTGGGGCCGGGAGGGGCACGCCCGCTGCACCTGGTGGGAGTGGGGCCGGGAGGGGCACGCCCGCTGCACCTGGTGGGAGTGGGGCCGGGAGGGGCACGCCCGCTGCACCTGGTGGGAGTGGGGCCGGGAGGGGGCAGGCCTCCTGCACCTGGTGGGAGTGAGGCTGGGAGGGGACATGCCCGCTGCACCTGGTGGGAGGGAGCAGAGCTATGCAGCGGCGTCCCTTATGGCTGAAGTGGTCAGGGGGTCAGGGGAGGGTGGGGAAGGCAAAAATCCAAAGGGGTAACCGATGTGGCCTGGGTGTAAAGTGGGGGCAGAACAAAGCTGGGGTAGAGAGACCAGATCCCCTGTCAAGCCAGGGACAGACAAGGGCCCATGCCTTTCCCAGGACAGGGCAGGCAGCCCTCCGCCCGCCGCCTGCTTCGGCCCTCGGCCCTCTGTGCTGCCTGCTCTGCTAGCTGCAGACCCTGGAGAAAAGTTTCCTTGTCTGCCTCAGTCTCCCCTCTTCTCCTCCACTCCCAGCCACCTCCGTGGAGCCGGAGCCCTTGGGCTGAAGCCAAGTGTCCTCAGCGAGTCAGACAACACCTCCTTACATTTTGCACCCCAGGCCCCTACTTGCCTCACCCTAATCCTGGCCGTTTTAAAAATATATATTTTTATTGATTTCAGAGAAGAAGGAAGGTGGAGAGAGAGAGAGAGAGAGACATCAATGATGAGAGAGCCTCCTGTTTGTTCCCTACCTGGGCATGTGCCCAGACCGGGAATCGAACCATGTCCTCCTGGTTCATAGGCCGACACTCAACCACCGAGCCATGCCAGTAAGATTCTTTGCCAATACTGTCAAAACCTCATCCCCAAAGCTTGATGTATCCCTGGAGGACAAACAGTGCCCTTCAGCATCAGTCACTCTCACTCCTTTTATGTTGGTAAACCACCTACTGTGCGCTGAGTCCAGCCTGGGGAGACTGTGGACGAGGCCGGCCCAGTGGCCGCTGCGTGGAGCTAGTCCTCTCGGGAGGAAAGGAAATGGGACTGTGCCTTTGGCTGTTGAGACAGGCGACAGGTGTAAGAAATGCAGCGAGGTAGGGGTTATGTCTGTGGTCGGGGAAGGCTGCCCGGAGGTGTGTGGGTGCCCCTGGCTGAAGGGAGGGAGGGAGCCGCTTGACATGCTGAAGGGATCAGTCCTGAGGCAGGAAGGTCCCAGGAGCTGGAGTGAGCTTCCTGTCTCTGAGGCACCAGGAGCAGAGTGACCAAGGGGCAGATGGGGAGACTGAGGCCCTAGGGTCAGGCAGGGACCGAGGCACAGGGTCCATGGGCCAGACAGGACTTAGGGTGGAATTCCTGGGGGTGAGGCAGGAAGCCACGGGACTGGGAGTGGGGCCCTGGGAGCAGGGGTCTCTGTAGGAGCTGCACTGACATGGAGACCTGACCAGATGTGAGTTCAAGCCCCGCCCTGCCTTCCTGCCCTCAGTCCGCTGCGCGGCCTGGGCAGGTCCCTCCCCTCCAAGCCTCATCCCCGCCCCTGAGGAACGCAGCTCCTGTTGTTGGGAAATTAAAGAAGATGAACTGT